CTAGGAGAACAAACAGGTTTGTTCTGGAGAGGGTGAAACCAGTCTACTCCTTGGAGTCAAGGATTCTGAAGCGTCATCTGACATACTTTGGGCATGTTACAAGGAGGGTCCAGTCCTTGGAGAGAAAGATCATGTTTGGGAGAGTGGAGGGACAGCACCGGAGAGGAAGATCCTTGATGAGATGGATCAATTCAGTGATGGAGTTGTGGGAGTAGGTGTGTCAGACACAAGGAATTTGACACAGGATAGATTAGGGTTTAGGGCTCTTGTAATAGGGTCGCTATGAGTTGCAAGCAACTTAACAGCACATAACAACAATTACAACAATACATTTGAGAGTTAACAATGAATAAGGAAAATCAAAGAAGAAATGATGTCGTTGTTTGTGATGTTAGTGAAGAGTATTGAATATACCAGGGGCTACCAATCAGAAAATCTGTCTTAGATGAAGTACAACTAGGATGCCTTTTAGAGTCAAGGATGATGAAGTTTTGTTTTACGTATTTTGGACATGTTCTCAGGAAGGTCCAATCCTTTGAAAAAGACCCCATTCTGGGATAGGAGAGGAAGACTCTCAACAAGATGAATTCATATAGTGACTACAACAGTGGGCGTGAACTTGGAGACTATCAAGAGGATGATGCAGAATAGATTATGATTCCAGTATGTTGTCCATAAGATTTCTATGAGTACTAGTCAACTTGACAGCACCTAACATAACACATAACACAAACTTTCTTGTGAGTGATTTATGTGTTTTCAGAGATAACTTAGACTATGCTTGATTTTTTGCTTTCATACTACTTTAAATGTGTTAGCCCATGCCCAGTTTTTATCCAGATAACACCAATAATCCCCTTCCTTACATCCAGAATAACTTCTACTGCAAACATGTATTAGAGTTCTAAACAAAGCATAACTGTACATTTCCCCCTCAACTAACAGAGTTGTTCAGAGAGGAAAAACATGGAGAATGAGAGAAATTATGAGATTTCTTAACTGTGCTCATGACAAATACTAATCTACTATAAATTCCGATCCTTTAACAGATATAAGAAAGTTGAACTAATTATTTTGAAGAGGTAGATATTTTAACTGTCCTTTTCTTATAAGAAAGTTGATGTGCTTTAACCTGGAAATTTTGGAGCCCATAGCTAAATTAATTAGCATCCTATCTTAGATTGTAGAACACCTAGCACATTTACAAGAGGCTGTACTGGGGCGGGGAGAACATTTGTGTGCTTAAGAGATTATTGGTGCAAGTCTCCTCGGTTAATACTTGCGGAGGGCTTGGAGATCTCACAGGATGTTAAATGTTCTCTTTGTAATAGTACATGTACCCTTATGTACTCATTATATTGCACATATGAGGTTTTCTGTGCTATGTAATTATACAAGGTTGTATCTTATCCAATGGAGATTCTAAATTTGCCTTCTCAATTAGCTCATAGATATTAGACAAGAGACTTGTGTTCTTTCTGTTGAATAGCAAAATGTACTCGTCAGAAATGAAAGTCATTTGCAATAGCAGGAAAAGTATAAACCTAAACATTCCTCAGTGCTCTCTAGATATTTACTTGGATGCCAATTCCACTATATATTATTATAAGTGAACTGAAAATTTTAGAAATGTTAAATTAATAAATCTTTAAGGTTACTATAATATTGTTGGGGGGACAAAAGGATTTAATCTATAAAATTAACAATAACATGTTTAATGATAAAAAAATCTCTAAGTGCATATTTAGTGAACTCTGCATTGCAATACTGAGTACAAATACATTATTCATGCTTACAGGTTTTCAACCTGGGTCTAAAGCTTGTATACTTTGGTTTGCTAGCTTTATCAGTTACTCAAGTGCAATATTAAAAGAACTACACTATTTAAAAAAGGAATAGGTGTATTTATAGAGTTTAGCTGGCATATTCTACTGAGAGAGTTCTCTTTCCAGTCCCATGTCTATATCTTTATCAATATTAAAACTTGTCAAGTGAAAAGTCAAACATTGCATTGGAATCTGGACTGACACATATCTGACTTTTCAGTAGATTTTGAGAGGCAATAAATCACACAGAAAGAGAATACCCATCTTTCTTCCTAGGTGTGGCAGATAGATTTGACTTGCCTTCCTCTGAGTTGAGAGTACAATTCTTTATCTATTAGGCCACCAAAACTCACAGTTCTCCTTAAATTGTGATGAATTTTACATAGCTTATCAGGAGAGGTTACATGAAACAACCCATTTTTTATAGTGCTGAATTCTGTGTGTGTGTGTGTGTGTGTGTGTGTGTGTGTGTGTGTGTGAATTTAATTCCATGCTTGCTTGGTAATGTTGCTTTTAGATGCTGCTGAGTTGAGTACTACTCATGGTGACTCTATAAACAGCAGATCTTAACTCTGACATATCCTGCACTATTCTTAACATCCTCTACACATTTGAGCCTCTTTCTGGAGGCCCTGCCTAATTTTCTCTCTTTGAGAATCTTCTCCTTCACTGGACCTTCACCTTTCCAAGTATGAAGTCCCTTTCCAAGGAATGGCCTCTCCTAATAACACACCCAAAGTTTGTGAGATTAAGCTTCACCATCTGTGCCTCCAAAAAGCTTTCTGGCTGTACTTTCTCCAAGACACTAGCAGTCAATGGGATATTCAAGACTCTTCTCTAACACCACAATTGAAATGCATTGATTCTTCTCTTATCATCTTTATACATTGTCTAACCCTCAAATGCATAGGAAGTTTCTGGAAAGATGAAATGGAATCTTGAATCTGGTGCCCTGTAGTCTCTAAACTGACATGAATGCTCTTCAGAACGTTGGAAAGATTCCTTACAGCAGATTTTCCCAGTACAATACATCTTCTGACCTTCTGACTTCTAGTGCCAAGGGCATTGGCTGTAGATACAAACAAGATGAAGCTGTTTACAATTTCATGCTTCTTTCCATCTATCATGATATTGCCAATGGGTCCATTGATGACAATTTTGTGTTCTTTGATATAATCCATATGGAAGGTTGCAGTTCTTGATCTTCTGCAGCAGATACCCTGGGTACTACTCACTTTCAGCAAGAGGGTTGTGTCGTGCAAATGTTATTAATCAGTATTCCTCCAATCCTGATACCTCATTCTTCTTCATAAAGTCCAAATTCTCACATGATTTATTCAGCATACAGACTGAATAGGTATGGAGGAAGGTTATAGCCCTAGTATCTGATTTTAAACCATACCGTGTTCTCTTTCTCTGTTCAGACAACAGCTTCTTTATCTAGATATGGACTCCATATAAGCTCAGTCAAGCTCTGCTCATGCTAGAGGTAGAGCATTTATCTATCAGTTTGCACATATGTTATAGCTTACTCTATGAGGTCAATACTCTTATTGTCTCTATTTTACAAAGAAGGAAAGGTTTAATAACTTGCTCATGACGACCACTATTAGGTGAGGGAGACTTTGAGAAGGGCACAAGTCTGCCATTTCTCAGTAAGTCCAAAGAGTTACTTTTTATTCAGCATTCATACAGATGACTATTCCTTTAATTATCAATGGATGGTACAGTAATCTTGTCTTTGTGGACATGATATATATTAAATGAATGTATTTATTAAGCCGAACTCACTGCCATCAATTCAATTCTGAGGTATAACAGGTTTCTAAGGCTGTAAATCTTTTCTTTTTTTAATATTTTTTTATTTTAATTGTGAATTTAACAAAAGTTTACAGAAAAGTTAGATTTTCATTAATTAATTGTTTCACATTTTACCTGCTCTCTCTCCCTTCCCCCTCCCCAAGTTGACTTTTTTTAAAAAAATACTAGTTTATTTACAAAATCTGAATTGTTTTTGAGAACAGATTCTTCCATTTCCCTCATCCCCACCCATCAAATTCTACAATTCCATGATTAATCCTCCCTCCTCCGGCACATCCTCCTCCTCTGTTTCCACCCTTCTTCACCCCCCTTGGATCCTTATACTCGTTCTGCAATAATGGTTTTATACAATATTTTTCCTTGTGGGACTGAATTAGTTCACTCAGCATAATGCTTTCCAGTCCCTCCCACATTAGGTAATAATTTACAAAATCATAGCAGCATTATTCACTATTGCAAGGACTTGGAAACAGCCCAGATGTCCAGCTACAAACTAATAGATTGAGAAATTATGGTACATTTACACAATGGAATGCTATGCTGCATGCAGGAGCAATGATTTTGTAAAGCTGTAAAGCTTAACAAGAAGAGACTGCCCATTCCCCCTCTTCAGCAAGTGGCTGGTGGATTCTAAGTATTGACCTTTTGGTTAGCAACACATGCTGGGCACTATGCTATGAAAACTCCTGTGCCTTTATTTATTTATTTGAATGATGATTACATCATCTTAATTATTTTCTTACATTTTAACCATATAATATGTCTAGAGGAACATTATGTTTGGAAGGATAGAGTCAGCACAAGAGAGGAAGACCCTAGATGATATGGATTGACACTAAGTGGGTTTATGAGGGCAATTGTGTTGGAGATGGTGAGATTGGTTCAACATAGGGCAAAATTCAGAGCCCTTGAGCATAGGGTCGTTATGTTTCACAGGCAACTACACAGCACATAACAACAATAATGAATTAAAACACATGATCTGTTCTAACACTTCAAAATTCAGTAGTTATTTGCTGTAATTTTTCATAAATATCATCTTCATTATTAATTACTTTTAAAAGGACAATATTCCCATCCAAAAGCAATTTGCAAATCAAACATTTGGACTGTATAGTTTGCCATTGTGAAATAACTTGACCTTCTGTCTCTGTTGCTGCCCAGTTCTGTTATTCAGTGTTTACAATTATTAAATCTCCAGCTGATCCACAATTAAGAGGCCCATCCATACAGAGAGAAAATAAGAGGAAAATGCAGATGAAAATAAATTGTGGTATCAGCCTGATTTAGTCCTACAAACCATTTTTCCTCCTGATACTCATTGCGTTTGTGTTTTTGTTTGTTTGTTTCTAGGGACCGAGCTCCTTTTATTTTTACTTCTGAGATGGAGTACTTTATTACAGAGGGAGGAAAAAACCCACAGCATTTCCAAGATTTTGTGGAACTTTGTTGTAGAGCTTATAATACTGTCAGAAGGCACAGCCGACTGCTCTTAAATCTGCTAGAAATGGTAAGTCTCTAAGGAAACAACAAATAAAATAAGCTTCATTTACGTCTGTTCTTCAGATGTCTATTTGTTGTTAATGTCTTCAAGTTCTCAAAAGCACTTTTAAATGAGAAATGAGTGGACCAACTAAAAGTGTCATTGTGTAATTCATAAACATATTTCTTAATAAAACAACACATTAATACATAATTATTGTCTCAAACATTTCTTGCTTCAACAATATTGACGAGTGTAGGAGTTACCTCAGTATATTTGACTAAGAATCAATGTCTCTGATTTTGAAAATAAGATCTTCAGTTGTATTATACCTTTGGATTTTTCCAAAAGTCCTTTAAAACACTACATAATTTACGAACATGCCAACATTATGTGGTAGACTAGACAAGGACTATTTTTGTCTTAGCTCCCTTTACCAATCTTTGTTTTGATCTCCTGGCAATATTCTGTATTACAAAAACAAAGGCTAAAACCACAAACTGACATGTTATTGACTCAGCTTCAGAATAGAACATTCAGTAATGGACCTATAATTTCTTGATCAATAAATACAAATTAAATGTTTCACTACACTGTCTATCCCAAAGATATTGGGACTAATGTCACAGGTTTCACAGGGTTTTTGTAGTCTTGGTATTTCAGAAGAGGATTTCCAACCCTGCTTTCTAGTCTGCTTATTTTAAGTGCTCTGCTGAAACCTGTCCACCATGGATGATCCCTTAGGCATTTGACACATTGTTGGCATAGCTTTCAGCATCATAGCAATCTACAAGTTACCCTAGTAGAGCAAATTGACAGACAGTGCTGTTCTAATAAAATTAAATTATGAACAAGCAAGAATATGTACATATGTGTTATAAAGTTTTTATTATTATTTTTTATTTTTATTTTTATTAAAGTGCCCTTGAGTCAAGGACAACTCATAGTGATCCTGTGAATACAGATCTGAGCCCTGTCCTATCCTATGCCATCTTTATACAAGGAAAACTTCTAATCTATTATTCAAATATGTGCACCAACAAGGAAAGACAAAGAGAAGGAAATTGAGAATTTCTACCAACTTTTGAAGCCCCACATTGATCAAATATGCACCTGATCAATATTCAATTTAACAATATGCACTATTAATTGCTGGTTACTCGAATGTGAAAGTTGGAAATAATGAGGAAGGAATGATAGTCAGAAAGTATGATCTTGGTGACAGAAATGAAGCTGGATGTCAAATGATTGAATTTTGTATGTTCAATGATTTGTTCATCATATATACTTAAAAAGCAAAACCAAGAACAAACCAAAGAAAACTCCCACAAAATTTATCTTTATACATGCATGAACCTTCACCATCCACCAAGATGCTGCCAATGGCCTAGTAGTGAGAATCTTTGTTTTCTCGATATTGAGCCTCAGTCCTTATTGAAGACTGCAGTCTTTGAACTTCTACAGCAAGGGCTCCAGGTCCTCCTCAGTTTCAGCAAGCAGGGTTGTGTCATCTGCATAACACAGATTGTTGATGGATCTTCCTCCAATCCTGATGCCACATTTCTCCTCATACAGTCCGGCCTCCTTTTATAATCTGTTTTGCATACAGATTGAAAAGGTATGGAAATAGGACACATCCCTGTCATACACTCTCCCCAGTTTTGAACCATGCAGTGTTTCCTTGCTCTCTCTTCTGACAACTGCATCCTGGTCCAAGTATAAGTTTTACATTAGCACAATCAAGTGTTCTGGGATTCCCATTCTTCTCAGAGTCAGCCACAGTTTGTTGTGATCCACATAGTCAAATACCTTTGCAAAATCAATGAAACAAAAATAGACATTCCTCTGGCACTTCCTGCTTTCAGCCAAGATCCATCTAACATTAGCTACAATATCCCTAGTACCACGACCCCTTCTAAACCCAGACTATACTTCTGGCAGTTCTTTGCAGATGTGCTGTTCCAGGCGTTTTTAAATAATCCTCAGCATAATCTTGCTTGCATGTGATATCAATGATATTGTTCGATAATTTCCACACTCTGTTGGATCACCTTTCTTTGGGATGGGAACAAATATAGATCTCCTCCAGTCAGTTTGGCCAAGTGGTTGTTCTCCAGATTTCTTGGCAAAACTTGGTGAGAACGTCCAGGGCAGCATCTGTTAGCTGAAATATGTCAATTGGTAAACCATCTGTTCTGGGGGGCCTTATTTTTTGCCAATTCTTTCAAAGCAGCTTGAACTTCTTCCTTCATCATGATAGGCTTTTGCTTACATGTTGTTTCATGAAATTTTTCTGTGCCGGACAATTCCTTTTAGTACAATGATTTTGTATACTTTTTCCATCTTCTTCCCTTACTTCCTAGATAATTTAATATTCTCCCCAAAGCATCCTTAAGTATTGCAATTCAAGACTTTAATTTATTCTTCAATTTTTTCAGCTTAAGAAATGCTGAGCGAGTTCAGTCCTTTTGATATTCTGATTCCAGCTCCTTGCACATTCCATTGTCTTTACTTTGTCCAATACTTTACTTTGTCTTCTCGTGCTGCCTTTTGAAATCTTCTGTTCAGTTATTGACTCCACAATCAACACTCTTGGCACCAGCAGCGAGAAAATTAAAAAATGTGTTGTGTTGGTAAAATCTGCTGTTAGAGACTTCTCTAAAGTACTGAGGAGCAATGATGCCACTCTGGAGACTAAGGTGTGCATGATTCAGGCCATGGTCTTTGCAATCACTTACTGTGCATCAGAGAACTGGACAATGATTATGCATGATAGAAGGAGAATTGATGCCTTTGAGCTGTGGTGTTGAAGAAGAGTATTGAACATGTCATGGACTGCTAAGAAAATGAACATGTTAATTTTAGAGGGTTAAACCAGACTTCTCCTTGGAGGCAAAGATTCTGAAGCTTTGTCTGACATACTTTGGACATGTTGCAAGGAGAGGGATATCATGCTTTGGAGGGTGGAGGTACAGTGCAGGAAAAGAATACCCTCTAGGAGGCAGATTGATTCAGTGACTGTGGTAATAGGAGTAGGTGTGTCAGAGACAGTGAGATTGCACAGCATAGAGCAGGGTTTAGGGCTGTTGTACATAGGGTCGCTATGAGTTGCAGGAGAATCAATGACACATAACAACAACAACATACATACATGTACCTAACCTGATGGACTGCAAAGGAATGAGGTTGACTATATCTGTGCAAAGAATTATTACAGAAGTTCAAAAGAGGAGTCAAAATCAGGCTAGGTGGGGATGGAACAGTCCATGAATTATTCATGTGCAATTTCAAATTAAAGCTGAAGAAAATGAAAACAAGTCAACAACAACTAAAGTAAACATTGGGTGAGTCTATCTCACCTGAATTAAAAAAAAAAATCATCTCCAGAATAGGTTTGAGGGATTAAACACTAATGATCAAAGACTAGATGGGTAATGGGATGAAATCAAAGATATCGTCCATGAAGAAAACAAAATGTCATTACAATCTGAGAAGAGAAAGAAAAGATTAAAATCGATATCTGAAGAGATTCTGAAATAAAGTAATTAGCAACAGGCAAATCATGCCCCAACAGAACAGATGGGGAATCTACAACAGAATGGTAATCTTAGAATACTTGGTTGTGTGCTCTTGCAAAAACTATACCTAGACAAAGAAGTTATTATCTCAACAGAGGAAGCGAACACTACATGTTTTATAATCAGGGAAGGTGTCTATCAGCATTGTATCCTTTCTCCATACCTGCCCAGTCTCTATTCTGAGAGAATCCATGCAAGGAGTTGGACTCCATGAGGAATGTAGTATTAGCATTAAAAGAAGACTAATCAACAAGTAGAATTATGCAGATACAACATTGCTTGCTCAATGTGAGGACCACTTGAAGCACTTGCTTCTGATGTTCAAAGACTATAACCTTCAATATGAAATACAGCTCTACATAAAGAAAACAGTGCTGGACTAACTGAAGCAGCATGATGATAAATAAAGAAGAAATTGAAATTGTCAATGAGTTCATCTGACTTGTCTCTGCACTCAACATCCTTAATCCAAGCCGTTAGGAGATGAGGATACTGGAAAAGTCTTCAATTAGGGCCCTCTCCAAGTTACTGAGGAACAATGTTGTCAGTTTGAAGACTAAAGTGCACTTTATGCAAGCCATGTTCTTTTCAATCACTTGCTATGCATCACAGATCTGGACAATGAATATGGATGACAAAAGAACTGATATGTTCGAGTTATGATGTTGGAGAAGAGTTCTGAGTATTCCTTTGTCAGTACTGAATGCACTGTCAAAAGAACAAACAAATAAATCTTTAAAATTGTGCAGCCAAAAGACACCTTAGAGGAAAAAAAGACGTGATGTCATCAGGTGAGATATTCTTCCCAGAGCCAGCACTTTCAGGTGGGGAAGAGAAGGGCCTGAAACCACCCTGTAAAAGGTTCTTCCATTTGGTGACCCCTGCTGCTGCAAGGCCATACCAGTGACCAGAGGATAATAGAGTTTATGACAGAGAGCTATAAACAGAGGAGATTTTTTTTTTCAGCTATCACACTGAGGTGTTAGAGAGAACTACCTTCAAAGCCCCTTGGACAAAAACTGCTTACGTGGAGCACCTAGTCTTCTACCACTCTGCCTCTCCGCACACAAAGGGAGGACAGTAGAGATTGGGAGAGGGGACCACAATAAGGCAATATTCCTGCAGGGTTGCACTGCAGATCAGAGAGAACCTGAAGGATTTTAGGAAAGGCAAACTTTCCCAAAAATGACTTCCAGTGAATGAGGGACCCACCCCATATATTAAACATCATGAAAATAAGAACTATCAACAACTTCTATAGACTCAATAGAAAAAGCCTGACTCTTACCAAGAAAAACGTCACATAGTGTCAAGATAGCAGCCAGCAGCATTAATATTGTGGGGAAGAAAACAAACAAACAAAAAACCAAATTAAGCCTTCTCCAAATAAGCAGAGCAAAACGCAGATCCAATGAATACCCGAGAGTCTGTAAGACTGGAGATATATAC